CTACTGTGTATTCCAAAAACATTGTGCGTCTTTCGGTATTAATTTATCTCAAAACCCAGCATTTTAATTTCTCAGAAACGATCATTGCGGGAACATTGTGGGCCGGGACTAAGATTTTTGATGCGATAAAACGATAGTTCGAGGAACGATAGAAGCGGGAAAATGTAACATTATTTTATATGGGATGTATTCGGGACCGAACAAAACGGACGATGCATCCGGGAAAACGATAGTTCCGGGAACGATAGATAGAGGTTTCACTGTATATTCTTTTCTGAAGTGGTTTCCACGTGAGTAAAGTACACTATGCAAATCAAAAATAAACCAAGGTAACAACACAAAACCTTCAGTCTGCCAACTGACTGAACTTTGTTTCAATACGCAAACACATAACCTCATTTGTCTGAATCCACCTGGATCAAATGCAGCAGAGTCACTCAGACTTATTTTATCTTATGTAACTACCTTATGGTCTAATTATAAAAATATAAATATTCTTGCTTCTGTCCAACTTATCAGCATAAAACCAAAGCACAAAGAGGAGACTGCAATATGCAAAATCGAAAAATATTACATTTAATGCATTCTGATTTTAACCATCAAAACTGTACAATTTTTTTTCTGGTAAAAGAAATCAAAAATTAATCTAAGGATAATACCATTTTATTTGTGCACATTTATGCGCATATTTGGACTAGAAAATTAAAAAATCAAGTATTTGTGAAAACACACTTTCAAATAAACAAAGTACAGGGAGAGAAAAAAAATCATGTATCAGATTTCTGAATCACAGTTAATCAGTCGTTGTGTGCACAATCAATATGTTGACAGTAGCCACCTCCCACAAATTCCCGCTCCCTCGCTCTGTCAACCAAACTTAATAAAAATCTACAACCCTAACCAAAGCACTAACCAAAAATAGTTTATATGAATGGTACTGTTTTAGTGTCTATGGTCTTTGAAGGATGAAGGAAAATTAAGACACAAACTAATATTCTGTGAGTTTACTCTTCATTAGATTAGGTCAGTGGTTTTCTTATGGTTTCAGTTTCTTTATTACAACAGACTGTTTATACAATTGGGGTTTTAGTAGAGAATGGTTAAAGTGTGCAGTGCTGACCATGTGCTCAATAAAACTGGTCTTTAACAACACTGTGATGAAACACACAAAACCGCCCCCGGATTGGTCGAATGGACCTCATTTCGATTTTTATTATGGAGGCGTGATATTCATGACATAGACAAGCTCATATTTTATAGTAGTCAGATAATGGCATAATTGTTGGCGGATTTTCTTTGACAGCAATAGAAAATGCAAAATACATAACTACAAATCGCTGACACACACAACATTTTACTGGGCAAAAAAAAAAAACTTGCTTCCCCCCCTTTAAAAAATGGTTAACATATTACACAAAACCTAATCTTAAGAAAGAATAATTTTGAAGGGGGGAAAAACTGTGTTAAACACAGGTAAATATGGTATTCTGAATGAGCAGATATATCGGAGATTATAGTCAGCCGAAGGTAAATAAGATAGAACAGCCTGTCTGGCACTAAAATTTATGGTGGAGAAAGTTTTCTCACACGAAAAGTAACTTACAAATTCTGAATGGTGTTAAGTTTTCAAAATGACAGTATAAGTACCTGTAATTGAAACTTCTTTCCCCCCTCCCCCACACAAAAACTTCCAATTCTGTGGTAAAAAAATCTATTCCTAAGGTCAAACACAAGTCTTTTTACTCTCCAGACACAATGGAGGTCCAGGATATATACAGAATTCAATAGATGACAAATCACAACAATATGAATAAGAAATTTGCTTTCAAATTTTGTAAACCACACAATGTACTCACAAATTCAGTATCTGCCTTCTTAGAACCAGAATTTGTAGTAATGAAGTTTGTTGGGTCAAAGAAACTCCCGACAGGAACAGAGCCACTTGCACCGGATGATGATCCTGAAAAATAAAAATTAATAAATGACATGTTCATCACTACCTTCATTCTTCTTGGTAATAGGAGAAGAGGTCTTGCAGGTGTTACAAAGTAGCTGTTTAATCTTATTTTCTGATATCTTCCTAGGCACCTTTACATTTTCTTTGTTTGCTGAGGGACTTCAAAGTTATTTCTTTCAATGTATTTAGTAAAATATTATTCATAAAATTTGTTATTAAACAACTGCCAGCATCACATACTTCCAAACAACGTGCACTTACACCATACTCGCTCTACAAGTCACTAAAGGAGATTTGTTGACGAGATATCTGCTGTGTGAACATGTAGCTAACGCTGCAAATTCCTCTTATTGAATTATCCATATCCACCCTTAATACATGATAAATCTCATAATGGTATCATCAAGAAAGTGTTCAGTGTGACGCTACTTTCACAAAGAAAACAGCCAGACCAGACCTGGTTCTATCTTTTCCATTTTGGTCCCATCACTGGCTGCATGACAAGTGAAGTGCAAAGGTTCTGTTTCCAATAACCCCTTCATGTAATGATTTGAAGTAAGGCCTTTAAATCTCATTGCTGCTGCTTTATCCCCAAGATTGGAACATCCACCTGTAAAAACCACAATTCAGAAGCTTTATCTCTCTCTCTTCATCTCAGCATCATTCAGTAAGGGCCAGTGCACACGTAAGACTTAACCGTCGGTTGACTGTTCTGTCGTTGTCGGCTGAAGCATAAGACCCATAAACGACACGACAGTTCAGTCCATGAGCATGGGTATACGTACGACTAAACAGTCGTTCTTTTGTTCCACATTCTTCCCTCTATGCTCGCCGAGTACAGAAGTCAGGAATGTTGCAAGAAGAGAATATCGAACAATTAATTGAAAAAAAAAGATTATGCAAACATCAATGTTAAAAGAGTACTTTGGCAAGAGATTTGTTCAGTTGTGCCAGTCTTTCTTCAGGTGAAATAGCGAGACGCATATCCGTATGTTGATAGGTTATACTCGGTCTCAGCAATAATAGAACTTCATCAAAACTTTGTGTACTCATGCGAAAATATGAAAAGAATTTTGCATGATAATTCCGTAATGTTTTATACATAGTATGGAATTTTTCTTTGAACAGTCTCTCGATGTATAATGGATGCACCCAGTAATTCCTTTTCCTCCTTTTCTTGAGGCGAATCACAGGTGCACATACTATAGCAGTTTCAACAAAATCCATGTTTGACAATCGTCTACTGTCTGCAAATGCTCACACGAAATGAAAGGCAGAACGACTGAAAAGTCGTTCGTCTGCGCGCTTTCATGGTGCCAGTGATATGCACTAGTAACATGGTTTAAGTATTTGCACATTCCATGATATATACAGTACATCATCAATATAATAAAAATTCACAAAATTTTAAAAAATGCTCATTCTAACATACACAATATGTGAAAATGGTTGAAACAGTCTTCATATATTTAATGATTATTTTTGTGTAGACGACTATTACACCTTAGTGTATGAAACATCGATTTCACCATATTCATACCTCCAACTCCCAGCAGCTCCCTCAGGTCCAGATCAGAAGTTAAACCGAAACCCGCAGATCCAGCAGTAGCTCCTGAGCTTGTTACCATGGCACCTCCACCTGTTTCCCCGCTAACAACCGTTGCGTAAGTTATGGGAACTGAGGAAAACTTCGCAGGTACTGGTGGTTCAATGTCAAACAGTTCTGGTTCAAAAGGAGTATTATACAAACCAAATCTGCAAAGAAATGTATATATAAGTTGTCTTCAGCTGCAAAAAAAGTTAAATAACATTTAATCTGTCTTCCCTATCGGTCAAAATCATTGGATAGGAATGTGACTGAAGATAAACATACTCCTTTCTTAAAATATCACGCTAAAGGAAACTGTTATTAACCCTTTCCAGTTCAATGTCAAGATGGACTCAACAACACATTTCATTCTACTGGGTACAAAGTTGAGTTCAATTCAAAACGTAGTATCAGATATGAAGACTTCTGACATATATCAATGGCATGTAAATTATCTGAAGTTTGCTCTTAAAGAACTCAAATCTATCAATGAAAATTATTGCAGTTTCCAAATGGAAATCACTTTAATACAAAGTAATTGAACATCAGTATCAAAGTAAAGACCATGTTAGTCTACGCACTGCCCAGCAATTTTATGCTTCCCTTGGAAAACATAAATTGAGCTGTAACACAATAGTTAAAAGGTTAAATGATGAGGATAGAGTTAGAGTAGTAAATGAAACGTGAAGTGATGACAATTATATGGGTGTATTAGGTGACATATTTTCTGAGTTACAACTGATAAATTATCACACTTAGGTGACATTCAGCTTCTCACAGCAGTGAGTATGAAGATGACTGTCTTCTGGAATGTTAGGTCATGTAGTCTGGTAGAAGTTTACTGACATTTCAGAGATGCTTGCAGTCTCCATCATCACAGAAATGGATGGGGCAGGGCACTCAACGCCTTGATGATGGATGCAGAAATCACCTCTAAAGTGTTGGTAACCAACTACCATATCTTCACGGTGCAACATCCCAGAAGACAGTCATCTTCACTAAATTAATTTGGACCAGAGTATATACTGGAACTGAGTAGGGTCAGTATTAGAAAATGTCTGGCTTGTATTACTTTTTAACCTCTATAAACTATGACTTTCATTACACAAACAAGAATTGCCCACAGAACAAGGCATCCTTCTCAGGATCAAACAAACCGCAATAAGATGTTCTGAAGACAGTGGGATACCATAATGATATTCCTTTTCCTCAAGTAAAATAACGATGCAACATTGATTAAATTTGGCAAAAAATGTTTAGCTCCAGTACTTACAGCACAATACAAAGTAACCTAATTTTCAGATTAACATGCTAACAAAATAAATTACAACTAGGTTTTGTAACTAGTGTTCATGAAATGATTAAATACAATATGACTAATGTTTTTCTCAAAATTCTATTTTCAATAAATAAAATTAAATTTCATTCATAATTCCCTTCATGTAGCCATGAATATATTAACCATTCAAGACTGTTCAGTGAATTTATTTCATAATGACAAAATTAAATCACAAGTCTAACCAGAATCACCAAATAATAATAATGGAAGCTAAAAGAAAAATCATCAAAATGTTAAGTGCATCCCACAAAAACAAAGTTATAGAACATACAACCACATACATTATATGTTTCCGGTTCACTTTCATTTTCATGTGCATGTAAGTGCACATACTAATTTACTATAAGTATGTACTTAATACAAGTACCAATCTACCAAACCTTGTCCTTAAGAGTAAGTGGTAGGGGCTGGATCTTGCACTCATTTCTTGTGCTATTTGCTGCAAAAGTGTAACACATTTCTGTCCTGTAGTGGCTGAAACATCCAGTGACATCACACGACTGAGGAGCAGGAAATACCACTGCAGTGCTCCAGCTGATATACAAGAAGATATCATGGGTAACCACTCCAGCAATGCTCGAAGAACACAGCCATCAAACTGAACTGTTATTGAATCTAAAACATTCTTCATTCCCCTTTAAGAAAATGAAAGCAACATTATGAGAGATAATTTTAACAAAACAAATACTACACAGGCAGGTTATCTTGATAGCCAAATGAAGGACGAGTGGGGAGGAGAGTCAAAAAGGAATGTTTCTGTGAGAGTCTGGTAGAAAATGCTTGCTAAATTCCAATCCTTCAACCATTTGTTCATAGTATAATGAATGATTATGCACATCAGCAGAAGCAGGTTTAACAAAGTCTTTCACAGCGAGGGGAGGGGACATAATATGTTTCCTTAACACTCACTAGAATTCCTGCTCACAAGAACTTGAGAAGGCTAGACTGAGTGGCAACCAGGAAGGAAACTCTCAAGACAACTAGTGCACATATTACTGTATATCTCTAGGAAAACAATAGTAAAAGGAAATGAGGAGAAACATAGTGCGACAGTTCTGGCTCTGTCACCCCTACATTTTAAATCATTCATTTCTACACTATACCACACGCAGTAACTATACTGATACGAATAAAAATATAACGCATGTGTTCGTGCATGTGTATAGCAATTTTCAAAAAAACCTTATGAATTACCACCTCAACTATCATTTTTAATAAAAGAATTACCTCAACCACTGAAAAATATACCATTGGCAATGCAATAAACTATATACTTTATGCATAACACAGCATAACCTTATTTTAACTGCAACATAAAGCAGGTTTTGACTTTCACTATCCAGAGTGATGAAAAGTATGAAATATATCAATTTGTGAACTCTGCAAACAGTGAATAATGAATCTAAAAGAATTTAATTCCAGGTGTCAGTCGTGTCTGCCCAAAATCATTCCTCTTGTGCACTATATCCTACTGTATAATGTAGCTTATGAATTAGGGCTTCTGAGTACATTATCAGACAATCAAATCCCACCCACGTTAAGTGCTTTTTTTTTTAACTAGTGCTGTGTCACTGAAAGATATTACTATTTTAGAGTTGATGATGATCATGAAGAGGAATAATGTATTATACACAGACCACGTTAAATTTGTATTATACAATGGTTGTCAATTTGAATTCCTGCATAAAAGAAAGAATATGAATAAATGTTTTCATGGCCTTCACTGAATTCTGCATAAAAGAAAGAATATGGATAAATGTTTTCATGGCCTTCACTGAATTTCAGGTAATAAAATCAACTTTTATTAAAGAGTTGCAGCACTAAACTAGAAATAATTAAAGCTCTAAAACATTTTATAACTGTCTTTCTAGACAATCTGTAAAAATTCATGTCTGCACCTCTTAAACCAATTTACAGACTAGATGTAATTATAGGTATTAAAAAAAAAAACAAAGACATCTAGAAATATTTACATTTTAACTGGAATATGTAAGGAAAGCAAAGCTTATTACAACAAAATCACATTAAATGAGGCAGATAAATTACATATTGGACGATCAGATGCTACTTACTCACTGCAGATGATGATAAGCTTCACACACTTGTGAGCAATACTTCTTCCTGACAGTAGTATGCAATGTTTAATAAGTGAGATTAGATTATTTTCAACAATTCTAGCTAGTTCCAACTGTTGTGTTTTTGCATCTCCTTTGGCTGTTCTATGCCTACTGAGCCTTATTGACGTCACCCAAATTAAAATATCTAAAGCAATACTTTGAGCTACAACAGTCTTGTCAGGTCCCTCAAGACAAACTACTTTCACAAGCTTCTCAACAAATGAATTTGACTCCAACATAGCACAGCGCTGGTTCCTGTAAAACAGAAACAATCAGTAATTTCACAACCTGTATTTATTAATCTTTACCATACAGGAATGGGAGATTTAGACTCCATCAATTCAGTAGTAATGTTCACAATTGCAACTTCAATATTTGTCTTCTCCAGTGTATGTTGGTTCAAGTGTTCCAATCACAGACAACTCCTTTAAGGTAGCCTCAGAGAAAGAAATTGGGGGACATGTACGAAGATCTTGGAGGTCACTGGTCTTTGCAGATTCGAGAATCACCAAAGAACTACCGCAAAGGTGACGGCTTCATTAAATGTGACACATGTCTTGCTAAAGCCAGTGATCATGCTCATCCACTTACGGGAGTGAAATTAACGGAGTGATGAAGATTCTGATATATATTACCAGCAACTGCCTCCTCAAAGAAAATGGAGCCCACCACATGCCAATGAGACACAATACCCCAAGCTTATCAGGATGTGGGGGCACTTTGTAGAACAAATGTGGATTTTCACAGGACAAAATTCTACTGCTCTGGCTTATACACACCCATAAAGTGGAACTGAAGAAAATTCTACCCAGCAATTTCATTCCATTTTCCTTAATGAATGCCTGAAACAGCGTGCAATACTGCAAGCACTTTGATTTGTCCAGCTCAATCAATTCATGGACTGCATGAATATGGTACAGCCAAAGGTTTAATTTCTTTACAGACTTCTGTACACTCAAATGGGCCATGTACATCTGCAATACAAGTTTCCTACGACTTTTCATAAAAGACTGCTTTAACACATCATTCGAGTCTTTTTCACGGTTAACACACATGGACACCAACTCTCTAGTCATCTATACTTCCAGTTTCACAAAAACAGTCAACGAGCCATGAAATCATATAACACTACCATTGGTGACACTGTGACACAAAGGTGATACCAACTACAAGAAACAAGAAACATTCCAACACACCATCATCCATTACTACACATTTTCATGTTGGGCTGCACAACTTTTTAATCATTCTTTATAATTGCATTTTGCATTACCCAAATCAGATCCTCAAACAACATACGCATCCAGTTTTACTTATGCAAAAATTTTTATTAAAAATGTGTGTGTGGTATTTGGATAAATACAGTTAGTTTTCTTCAGCTCTCAGAAAGTATGATTTGAAATTTTCAAGTGTAGCGTGTGATACAATTCACATCTATTTACTGACTGATTAAGATGTTCCGAATGGCAATTTTCTGTAAGTCACATAGGGCCATACCTATGATCTGGATTAAGTAAAATTATCTTAAAAACCCCATTCATTGATAACAGCACATATATTAACTAAATTATTGAGATGAAATTTTCAATTACTACAAGCTTTAAAATTAAACATAAACATTCTAACCTTTCATTTGGAATGTTAGTTTGCTTAGTTCTCCTAATACTGATGGATATTTCATGTAACCAATCACAGCCCAAGTAATATTCCATCTTCTTACTGGCAGCTGCACTAGCAAGACGATCCACTGTATTGCCTGGCACGTGCAGGTAATAGTCCAACACTGGGTCTACTGATTTTCCTTTTCCACTGTCTAGTTTGCTCTTTTTTGAAGCAGATACTTTCTCATCGCCAATTCGAATTTTACTTGTCTGAAAATTATTAACAAACAATTTTAAGAGCAGTGACATTCTAACATATTTACAACAGAGAAAATTATACCACAATGTAAATTACACAAAATAAATTGAAGTGACGCTACATAGAATATACAATAACAAGAAAAAGTTTACTGGTTGAAAACACACATTTACACTTGTTCCACAAATGAGGTCAATTTCATACTGCAACTATCCAAGCAATCTATTAAGTATATCAGATTAAGTCCTAGTTACACCTTCAACATACCAAATAATAATTACTTCATTACTTCTGCACATAGATTTGAATATACCATGCACATAAATGACACAGATGTTGTCCAATATCATATGAACTTCTTACCATTTCTTTAACTGCTTCTTTATCTTCACCAAGAGCTTTTATGTGCACTAAAAGTGTTCGCCCTCGTATTCGAAACAGTTTAGGACTTGTGAGAGTAACAGTACCACTTTGATCCGATAAGTCAAGACAGGAAGCAAGATTCACTGGCCCACACAAAATTTCAGTATTATGGTCACGCAGATACTCTTCAGAAGTTACAGGATTTTCCACAGGGCCTAATAAAGGAAGGAAATTACATAATAACTTCACAGTTTTATATTAATTCAAATGGTACACTTGGATTTATGCTATAAAGTGATACACAAAACCTGAAAATCAAAGGAGCAGAGAGGAGCTTGGGATAGAATGATCTAATTTCCTAATATCAGATTTGTATACAGTGAAACCTCTATCCATCGTTCCCGGAACTATCGTTTTCCCGGATGCATCGTCCGTTTTGTTCGGTCCCGAATACATCCCATATAAAATAATGTTACATTTTCCCGCTTCTATCGTTCCTCGAACTATCGTTTTATCGCATCGATCCTTAAAAAATCTTAGTCCCAGCACACAATTTTCCCGCAATGATCGTTTCTGAGAAATTGTAACGAAATTTACGTGATATTTTTAGAATTTAATTCCGAAAGACGCACAATGTTTTTGGAATAAACAGTAGCGGTAACCTGTTATGTCGCCCAACCAGCACAGATCCTTTTGGAATGAGGGGTCAGCGGTGCAGGGGTGATAGTTGGAGTGAATGGCGGTGCCCATTGTCAGAAATTTTACGATTTTAATTAGGGTGCACTCATATTTCGTTCCAGCGATGCCAGATGGCATGTGCAGTGTGAATTTCTTCACAAATGCTTTTATTACAAGGACAAAGGAAAGGCGAAAGTGCTGCTGTGGATGTGGAAATAACGGAGCTGTGGCTCGAGAGACTGCCAACACTGCTGGAGGGATATGAGCCGCGGGACATTTATAATGCGGATGAGACCGGACTTTTCTACAACGCCCTCCCGGATAGGACTCTGGCATTGAAAGGTGAATCTTGCCACGGGGGAATACGTGCAAAACACCGAATTACTGTTCTTCTGTGTGTTAACAGTGACGGTAGTGAGTTATCAGTCACAAAACATTTCCAAACACAGTAAAATCTTGTGCAAAAATAAGTATGGCCTATAACAAAAGTTCACTTCAAGGAGTTTTTTAATGCATAGTCTATGTAATAATGTTAAATGAAGGGCTCTGTCCCTCTTTGTTTTGCTTGCCAGGATTTGAGGTTTTCACAGTGGTGAGTCTGAAGATCGATGTCTTCTGGTTTATTGCACCGTGTAGTCTGGTAGATTTCCACCAATGTTTCAGGGGTCATATTAAAACGCTGGTGGAAATCTAAAAGATTATATGGCGAAATAACCCAGAAGACAACAAGCAAGTATACCTCCTTTAAAATTATCCTGTCTCAAGTTAAGTGGAGTTAAAGCAAAAACACAATTGCAGCTGTTGGTATTTTTTAAAAACATGCTGGGTTCCTGTTTTATTAATCAAAAGTTTTTTAAATTACCTGGAATATGGCATGAACTTAATCTTTCCTTTTATGACAACTATTATGTAGTCCTACATTTTTATTATGTTGTTGGCAAAGCCACCTACTGGCATGACACTTTAAATTACCACAATCTAAACCAACATGACACCAATTTCAATGTATAGAGAGATGTCGGAGTACATTTTGGTTTTAATTAGAGCATAATTTCATTATTTTCAATTTAACTATGAATTCTTGCAGTTTTTAAACTTTAAATTACCACAATCTAAACCAACATGACACCAATTTCAATGTATAGAGAGATGTCGGAGTACATTTTGGTTTTAATTAGAGCATAATTTCATTATTTTCAATTTAACTATGAATTCTTGCAGTTTTTAAACTTTAAATTACCACAATCTAAACCAACATGACACCAATTTCAATGTAAAGAGAGATGTAGGAGTACGTTTTGGTTTTAATTAGAGCATAATTTCATTATTTTCAATTTAACTATGAATTCTTGCAGTTTTTAAACTTTAAATTACCACAATCTAAACCAACATGACACCAATTTCAATGTAAAGAGAGATGTAGGAGTACGTTTTGGTTTTAATTAGAGCATAATTTCATTATTTTCAATTTAACTATGAATTCTTGCAGTTTTTAAACTTGTGGGTTAATTTCTTTTGTCTGTGAATCGAACATAAAATGTTAATAAGATAAATACATTGTTTCAGAATACGCATAAATATAGTTAAAATTTCTGTAAAATATACAAATTTAAATCATTTGCTGTTTCATTCTGAAGACACCATTTACCCTTCCAGATAATTAATTACCTATTACAAGCATTTGTTATAACAACACTTTTTCCAAATCTGATTAACTCCATTATAACGGACTTCTACTGTAAACATCTTCAGGTGGTGGGAAGAGTGCAGTGTTCATTTTACATGCTGATATGAAAGAACTATAACACCTAAACAATCAGAATTTGAGCATATACTAGAAAAATAAAGACAAAAAACAAGCTACTATACCTTTTGTGTTTCCATCAAATTGCATATTAATATTGAAATCTATTGGCTCATCAACAGGTGGCGTGAACATCTTCTCCTTCCTACCAATGCCATTGGCATTTTGCTTGAGCAGTGTGACCTGGATGTGAGGTGGTGAGGGGCAAGGAGCATGCAGTGAGAATTTCAGATCCACATGACCAATGCAGCAGCTCCGAGGGAGAGTGATCTCAAATACATGCTCATCCCATGTTGTGCTGGAAACAACAAAAAATTATCATCAGTAGTTCTGACAGAACACCTGACATACTTTAACAGAAAGTGCTTTTAAAACTACAAACATAAAGAATAAAACAATGCTTTGTAAAGTAACTATATAAGTGTAAGACTTGAGGTTCTCACAGCGGTGAGTATGAAGATTTCTGTCTTCTGGGTTATTGCGCTGTGTAGTCTGGTCGATGTTAACCAACGTTTCAGAGGTCATACTGCCTCCGTCATCAGGGCGATGAAACGTTGGTTAACATCGACCAGACTACACAGCGCAATAACCGAGAAGACAGAAATCTTCAACTATATAAGTGTGTGTGTTTATCTTTGTCTTTTACAAGTACAAATACGGTATGAAAGAAGTGACGAACAAGTACAGTAAGGTTCCAATTATCCAACCTTCAGTTATCTGACATACCATCTTATCCAAACACGATGAAAATAACTAATTCCTCATTTTTTCATTAATAAGACAAAAAGTAGTAGATTACACAAAACAAAAACTTGAAGCCTGGCAAAACTAGATAAAGAGAAAGGTAAGCAAGCAGTGGCAAAACGATATGGTGTATAAGTGTTATTCTCGTCTTTTCCATTAGTCTTCCATATTATACTTGAACTCCAGTTACGATATTAATAAAACACGATTCAGGAATACGAGTGTCTTAAAAGATAAATATCAAGTCTTTCACAACCTTGGCATATTACTGTTCAAGCACAGTAAAACCTTGTATTTATATTTATTTTATTTTTATTTATTTACAAGTTCCAAGAATCCAATAGTGGATATAGAACACGTCACAAACTCAAGTATAAAAACATAAAATACATACATTAAAAAATTACATCTAGACAAGCAGCGTACTAAATTCAAAACAATATAATTAGTATTTTTATTACAATAGTTATCCAATTAAGTACTCATCCACAGTGTAAAACGAGTGAGTAATTAAGAAATGCCTTAATGCAACCTTGAACTTTTTAAAATTATTTGAGGTATTCTTAACCTCTGTGGGTAATTTATTAAATATCTTTATACCCGCATAGTGAACTCCTTTCTGATAAATAGTTAAATTGGCTTGGGGTAGATACAAATTTTGTCTCTGTCTAGTATCAATAGTATGAGAGTCAATGTTTGATGGAAAAAGAGTTTTGTTTTGTAATACAAACAATAATAAAGAAAATATATATTGTGATGCCAACGGTAAGATATCTAATTCTTTGAATATGTCACCATCCTGCAAACATAATCTTAGCTTTCAATGTGTGACTGCTTTCAAGTAGGCTGTTGTTATTATTTAATGTGTTCGTGAATCATAAGTAACTTATTCTCACAGCAAGTCAGTTTTTTTCTGCCCAGCTACAGTGAGACGCATTACTGAACTTCAGCAGTTCCTTGTTGTCCCTGTTGCCAATGATCTTAACAATATTTGTTGCAATTAAACAATAACTTCACAGCATGGGTAATACAGATCAATACATGAATAACAACACTTTGAAACCCTTCTTTTAAAAATAAACTGATATACAAACATAAGACACATATTTTCAGTAGGACAATGCACCAGAACACACAGCACAAGATTTAATGTGGAATCTGCAGACAGAATTTAATAAATGAACAATCAGCATAAAACTATGGGTATCACTTTCCTGGGTGTGAATATGCGTCGCCTATTAGTCTGGAGAAACAAGCACAATATAAGGTGTACTGAGTTTTTCAGAAAAATGTTTTAATTTTTAGGACAGGTAGAGAGTGATATTTTTCATAAAGCAACTTTTTAAACAAAATTTCTGTAAATCTTACACCTTGATCTTAAGATTTTGAAAGAAATTATGACACAAAATATGGCAGCGATTAATTATTTACAGGGCAGTAGTACCACGTGCTAAAGAGTTGAATAACTTGTATGATCCGAACGTTTCACAGCGACTATGTATAATAAATTCTCCATAGGGTACTGCAGACCTACGGTACCATGAGGATGAGGATGAAGATGGTTCTCAAATCGTTGGCATTTTATTCATTAAGCCACCTTACTACACAGCTGGCAGCCAGAGAATAATTTATTATAGTTAAACTAATTGGCATTTTGCCCATATACTATGTTTATCCAAATGGAAGAGAACTAAAAATCTAATAAGACTCATCTACTAAGAAACATCTCTGCATAGAAAAACCATTTTTAACTCATTACGTTCATACAGTTAGTATGAATTTCCCTCTCTCATACCACTTTTATTCTCAGCTTCAGTGTTATTTCAAGCAAACTTGTGGTAAGTCGTGTCTATTAACACTGAGACATATTTCTATTTCACTGCTTTTGGTTATACTGCAGGCAAACATATGATAGCTTGTGGCTGCTGATATATTCAGATATATTTGTCTTTCTCACTTGTTATGTCTACAGCACAGTAGGGTGTGAATGTCAGCATACACTACATCATAAACTATCATAATAAAGTTTCAAAAATTTAATATTTCAAACTTTAACAAGACATCAGTTTTTCAAGTCTCATATTAGGAGAGAAAAAATGTTGTCCTCCATTTCAGGTTATTTGCGCATTGTCTTGTTCTGAGTAACAACAGTTGGATTTCTAAACATCATGTACAGACTACATGCTGCACACTTCAAATGCAAAATCTAACTTGATTCCATTCTCTTGAAATGAACTTTAATTTGTGGTTAAAACTATCAAAAACACATCACTGGTATTCCTACTTCAGAAATATAGCTTCTAACCACTGTGGACAGGCAGAGTACAGAAGAGCTCGCAAGACAGTTATTACACGCTAAAATAAATCTCCAGTGATTCGCTATCTATTCTTCTACCACTACAAATTTTCCCTCTCCTTCCAGCTATACTACTTAGCACAGCAATTAACTTGTGTGTCTTGTACCCACAAGGTAACCTCTTCAAATCCAGGTGCATAATGAAAATGCCTAAGAATTTACGACATTCGTCAATCCCTTTTAGGTGATAGTGGCATAAAATCATACTAAGGCTCAGTCCACCATCTCCTATATTTAGTGCAATATCATGTTGAAGGTGCAAGATTAGTCTCCAAGCGCTACTGACTTTCCTAGAACAGTTTTTGAACTATAAAAACATGGAAATCAAAAATAAATCATCATTCCATAGAGTAATATCAACCATATTCCATTTTATCAATATAAAAACACTGTGACTCTGTTTTTAAAATGTCTTGCCAGTCTATAGCAGGATTTAGATGTCCATTTTGCCATACAAGGGCGAGCTCTGTGGACTAGTGGATAGCATGCTCGCCACTGAACCCAAGATATGCGGGTTCAAACCTGGCCGAGGTAGATGGATTTTTAAGGGTGATAAAAATCCATAGCACAACTTCCGTCGGAGGGGAATTAAAGCTGGCGGTCCCACGTGGCAGATTTACAGCATGTAAAAGAACCTTATGAGCATGAACAAGATCTTTCATAAGCAAAATTCAGCGGCCATATCTCACCCAAGCCTCTCCTGATTCACTACTAGACGGCTCTAGCAGACAAATCAGGATTGAGTAGAAATTATGCAGAGGCATTGGGCTTGTCACCCACTACTCATAAATGTACACTTCAAAGAGAAAGAAACCTCCCACATGGGAGGAGGCCAAGGCTCGACTTCGGGCTCTTGCACCTTAGAAGAAGATTTTGCCAGACAAGGGGTTAAAATAAGTGACAAGTGCTTCCTCCAATGCCTTATCTATTTATAATGGCACTTAATGGCACATAACCTCAGCAGCTGAAGACAGTTAACCAACAAACTCATTCCAGAGACATTAACACTTACGCATCATTCTGCAATCTCCAGCTTCTAGTGTGCTGAAGATCATCCCCCTGTTGCAAATGTTGTGGATGACGTCGCTGCTTCTGAGCCTGCATCATCTCACTCCAACATGGTGGAACAGTAGCAGCGTAGCATGGGGATAAGTTCTCATATTTTGTCAGTTCATGAAGCAAATGCAGTTCTGGCATACCTAATGCTGGCTTGTTAACCAACAACTGATCACTACTGCAAAGATACATAATAATTCGCATAAATATCACCACTTCATTATGTTTACATTTTGTTCCATATCTGTAATGCTAATGGTGTCACTAAACAGCAAGATGCTGGAAATAAATATTCTATAGATATTAGTTCTGTATGTTATTTAATAATAACATATTATATGTAAAGGTTGGCCGGCGCAGTGGTCACGCGGTCTGAGGCATGGACCTCGTGCGCCTGGCCGCTGTGACCATGGGTTCGAGTCCCACTCAAGGCATGGATATTTATCTGCGTCTTTCTGTGTTTGTATAGGTGGAAGCCTAGCAGATAGGGCTGATCACTCATGCAAGGAGTTCTACCAATGTCCCAAAAACAGATCAATCATAAACCTCCAAGAGAGGTAAAACGCGGACCCTACAAATGCAGGACAAATGCAAATGAAGAAAAAAAATATATGTAAAGATTATGTAGGAATGACAGAGATATTATGAAGGATATATATATATCGGGAGGAATGGCAGAAGATGTGGTCTATTCACAACAAAATTATTGAATCTGTGACAAAGGAGCAGTCCATTCTGCTGACAAAAAGGAGGAAGAACAAAAGTTATTTTTTCATACCAGGTAGAACTTACACACATGATGGGCATGATTAATAAGGTGTTATCATGGAACAGCTGCCAAAAATGTTATGTAACAGAAGTGGAACACTGTCATATGTCAAAGTATCACAAAGCAAAAGCAACCATTGATTCATATTTTAAATACTGTGTAAGGAGTTAAAATACTTACATTAATAAATTGTATTTGCATGGTATTACTGAGATTAATTTATGCGATTCACTAGATTTAATTAATAACCTTCAAAATCAACATGGATGAATCTCTTATGTCTGCATTTGTATGCCAAAGTAAGAATCACTTGAAATTTAATGGTAATGGTGAAGCAATAATATGGCTTAAAAAACATAAAGAAACAACATATTTTCCATCTGCTTTTTATGCAAAAATATATAAAAATGTGGCATGTAATAAATAACAGACGACTATCTATTTGTAATTACCTTGAATTTGCATTGCCATTGGGCAAGAGAGTACTTCTGGATGCACCTACAGTGTTAAAGGGTTCATGAATAGTATCAGGAACTTCATTATTACTAGTTGGCAGTGGTGATCCAACACTACTGTTCTGTTGGTAATTGAGATTATGTGAAGATACTGACATACAGAAGTCATTCACATGGCTGAGGCAATCTTCCTCTCTCTCCTCCACACTGCTGTCATCATTAAGCATAAAGAAATGTAATGAACCTTTGTCTGTACAGGCACAAAGCCTCTCCAAGCCTGGGAAAAAGAAAATACATAGTTTAATTACATCAATCTTAAATACTCAAGTATATAAACAGTTTCATTATATCAACCTAAAAGAACCATCATCATGATGTACTGGTATGGGAAGAAAAATATAAATTCCCCAAACAGCATACGAAAAAGAGCGATTATTGTAATTTAAGTGCAAGAACATTCAACCACTGCACTTTTTAACTACAATGTTCCCAAAAATTTGCCATTAAATCCCATCCAGTCCACATCTTCACACACCGTCAGATCCTTCAATCTAAGCAGTTTCATCCTTTGAAGTTTTCTAACAAAGATTTTGAATGCACATTTCATTCCCACCATACAAATTACACATTCCACCCATAACATTCTCCTTGATTTAACCTTCGAAATCCAAGTTGTAACTACATGCACCACCTGCTTTAATAATCAGTAACTTCACATTTTTCCCACTGTGTGTATTTATAGGTTTCACATTCACAAAATAAACAGTGATTATTTTGTAAGCAGCATTGCCTAAATGGCCTCTGTTGTGAAGTGCAGTGCTTTCTTTGAGCTACACGCAATTTTTAAATATAATTTAGACAAGCTTTGTCTCCAATGGGTTAATCACCCTAACAATAAATGAACAGAATATGGATTACAAAGTTCCATGTTATGAACGTTAATCCTATATCCTACTTGCTTTTCTCAGTTCCAATTATTTTCCCCAGTTTCATATTTTATTCTCAGACCAGATTCTTCCCTCAGAGTGGGAGACCAAATTTCACCATTTTAAACAAAAGGTAAAATTTACAGTCTCCAACACTAGCATCACCTATATATTTACATTACTATCCTTTCCCATTTTGTGTATAGTATTGTACAAAACATTACTCACTATTACAATATGTAGCAGACACAAATTTAGTGCCTTTCTTCTCTGGCACAGCCTGGGATACTGTTTTCAAAGTTGACAAGTCAATAATCCTCAAAATACCATCTCTGCAAACCAATACTGCCATTCCTTGTGGACATCCTTTTACAAGGGTCAGAAGATTACTGCAAGAATCGCCGTTATCTTCCTTCTCTAGCAGAGGGAGAAGAGTCACTTCCACAGGACACTCCCCATATATACCGAAGTTCCTCACCTTCACAGGCGTCTCATCCAGTTTCACTACGTCACCTTCAAAGTTGAGGGCGTACACTAGTAGCACGCTCCCTTTACACAATGCGTCTGTCCTTTTGCAGTCACTATTGTCTAGCATTTTTAAACCTTCCTGAAATATATCACCATCATGAAAGAAACCAAAGTTTTGTCTAGGATGCTGTTCAACAGGTTTGCCCTCTGACACAGACGTGGTTTTCACGTTAGTTGCAAGTCCCATGTTTCCTGCTACGTCATCCACGTCAATATCCATATCACTGTCATTATCACTGCACTCGAACATCATGTTTCCTTCGTGCTTTGAATTTAGTGGCACAGACATTATACTATGATAACCAGAAACTGAATTATAACTATCGTTACTATCACAGTCTGCAGAACCTAGCACTACAAGCAGGTGACCACCATCCTTAGTAGGATAGATTCCCAAAATGGACAGATTTCTCATCTCTTTGTACACATCAGGTAACGCAATACACTGCACTACAACTGGATCATGTTGTTTTGTAAGCTGGCAACTAGTGATACTATCCACACTGGTCTTATTACTACCAACACAGCTATCTTTCTTGGACTCACGATTAACTTTTATCATCACTGGCGGGCTACTATCCGAGGTGGAGGGAAAACTGGACATATTGATGCCCCCATTTATGGCAGAAAATGTCACATTGACTGATGAAGAATCGTATGTTACTCCTCCACCTGATGGAGCTGCAACTGCGACTGGTGGTGGATAGATACCTCCAGAAGATGAGGCTGCAGGGAATTCTAACCCATCTACTAAACACTCAGGTGGAGCCATAACAATATCTGTGTCCATATCCTCAATAACTGGTACATCATAGAGAAATTTTGAAAGGAATATTTCCGGGTACATGTTGTTATTCTCCTGTCTTGTTCCAGAGCAAGAAGCACTCGTTCCTGTGCCAGACCCAACTTTCTTTGCACTGTTTCCGGCAAGACCTGGATTATTCTTTCCCCCATTACCATCATCTTTACTTTCTCCACACTCATCTCTTATGTGGTTATGATAATGGAAATCATACACAACAAGAAATAATGATTTCTTTCGGTCCACTGTCACAGCATTGTTGGATGACCTGTGATCACTGTTACAACTAGATTCACCCTCACGGACTTTCATGATATCCAATGCAGCAGATTCACGGTTACTAGCTTCATTCACGTCATTCAAGGCTCGTACCATTGGAGAGTTAATGACATCGCTACTTCCTCCCCACACAAGGTCTAAGTTAGTTCTTTGACTGGATACTGCAGAAGGACTAACACTAATACCCCCAACCAGGCAAGGCCGAATTGCTACATTACTGCCACTTTGAATTGGTTTTGTAATTTTCTTTCTCAGATGCCGCTGACTCTTCTGTTGGTGAGGACTGCCCATTATAGACACTGCTGTTAATTCCATGTCTTGACAGCCTAGCGGAGGTCCCAATAAATTTTCTGAAATATGAAAAACTAATTATGTTCGCAACATTTTTAAACAACAGTGCATGTATTATTACTTCAAACTGCACTCTCTTTAGAACAAAAGGAATGAATATCTACCCACAAAGCAATTTTATAGACAATCTCTGTTATTTCTTTGCAAGCTTCTATAATAAAAACATAACTCAGGTTAATCATGCTGTGGTTATGGTAGTAAAAGATATACCTCTATGATAAAACAAAGATGGCCTAACCTAAGATAAAACCTAACACAACACTGATGCAACTCTGTTCTTATTGACAAACACCACTATAACTAAACATTGCTACAAGTTGATGGCTGGAAATGGGGGGAGGGGTACAAAACTATGAAAATATAAGAACATTTTTGTTGCAGGGAGATGTCACCTTTGGCGGTCTAGTGGTAGCAATGCTTGCCACTGGACCCCTGGTCAATGGATTTTTTAAGGGTGATAAAAATCAGCAGCACGACTTCCTTCAGAGGGGAAATAATACTGGCAGTCCCATGTCAAGAATTTATAGCATGTAAAAGAATTTTACGAGCATGAATGAGATGTATTGTAATCAAAATTCAACGCCATTTCTCACCCATGTCTTTGGTAGAGGCCTTGTGATGGGCTGATCACTCGTCCAAGAAGTCCCTACCAATGTCTAAAAATGATAAGAAACCTCCAAAAGGAGGCGGCCAAAACCCACACTGGGTTGTAGAGCCACAGGAAGAAACAGAAAGTGGCAGGGAGATAACGCAAAAGGACCACAATATTTTAAACTTAAAAATTGCATTATGATTTGAGGTTCTCGTGGTGGTGAGTATAAAGATGGCACTCTTCCAAGTTGTGGTGCCCTGTAGTCTGCTGTTTACCTACAAACTTCTACCCGACTACAGGGTGCAACAACTCATAATACAACCATCTTCATAAATGCTGTACATGCCTCTTCTCACTTCAATATTAAAATTTACTGAAGATATATAAATGGACCTTCAACTTCATAATTCATACTAGTAACGATTATTTTTATTTATGGATTATTTACTGGCAATATTAACTAATTCAACTGTTCTTTACCATAACTGACAAATCTGTGAAACAAGTGAATGGTCAATAAAAGATTGTAAAATTAAGAAAGAGCTTACTTATGTTGCAGCCAACCTGCGTTCATTTCAAATTTTACAAACAATTACACACACAAACTCTGTGGAGGGGGGCTCTGCACTATTGAAGAATAAAACTAACCTTTGCACAAGAAAATGGAATTACTGGTATGATTGTCTACAACATTCTGAAATGGTGTTATGTACTAATAATTTAATTTTGGTCATAACACACTGAGAAACCAACTGCACTCCTATCATTTTCAAATGTGAAGAATGGAACAAATAAAATAAACAGATCAGAGACCATAAGTAAGAACACTACCAAATGAGCTTTCGCTAACAAGAAAAAAGTGAAGAAAGTGAAAAATAAAACTCTATTTTCCAAATAAATTGTGGAATATCTACACGTAATATTTTGGCCAGTAAGTCAAAGAAGGTTCTACTACCATACTGCAAGACCAAGGGTAACAATCAACCGGGTGCCCAAAATTATCTTTGAATGGATAAATTTGTTACAACAGAATTTGTACTGCATTGTAAAGTGTTTACTTACCAACTGCAATATCAGATAGAGGTATCTCCACAATATCGGAGGAAGGAACTTCTGAACCAAAAGCATCATCACTCTTTTCAGGCCATGCTTCCCGCTGTCTGATATCACTATAACCGATGCTGTCCTGAGGTTGTGACCTCGTTATTGCAGGGTCAGACGGTGTAATATAAAAACATACTTCCTTCTGCTCAAAACCAAATTTGTATGAAATTACAAATATCTCTCAGAAATGACAGTAATGTACACTGTTCATATGTACAGTAAAGTTGTACAACATTTTACATTTTTTTAATTATATTCTTGGAACCAAGAACAAAATCATTATTATTATCAAAACCAATCAACATTTACTTTCCTAGCAATTATTTTTTCACCAAAATGTTACCAGAACATTAGAAGACTAGTAATTTATGACAGAGAAATTTAACTGAACACATTCGTTATTATACAATTACATTAACAAGGTCTTCACTAATGTTTTAACATGTAATTTATATGAACTGATGCAACATACCTTCAACTGCCTAGAGATATTCCATATTGCCACAAGACCATGCTGCGTAGCTGTAGCAACTAGTTCAGGAACTGATGAAGTTCCGATGCAAGCTACTTCTTCACCCTGATCCCCAAATGATATGGCAGGGGATGCTGCATATGTCACTGAGAGAGGAACATTCTGAGTGTACTCGCCCTTCACAAAAGGACAAGATGGAGAGTGGCGCTCATGTTCAGACCTGAGTGACACAGTAAAGAAACAGTAGTACTATCAGCAGTCCTTACGTGTGATTACTGTACTCAGCACTACAAAATTTCTTCGTTTCTCCATAATTTTAATCTCATGTGAGACACCGGCAAAAAACTGTATTTGCATAAAGTGGATGGCATATTATAGTAAGAATATTTAAGAAAGTGCTTTCTACCTACAAAGAATTTCTTACCTACAACAACATTATGACTTTATCATACATTTCATTTCATCACAGACTTGTGTAGCCGTTTCCATCTAATCCAAAGCCTAGCTCAGTTTCCTTACTGACATGTAAAAGAACTTAAGGTACAATTTGGCTGCACGCGACAGAGACAAGCGACAGAGTTACGAGACAGAGACTGGTCGCTTCCTGTCTGCTCTCTGTACAATCGTATGAAGTACAATTACGAGCGCGAGACAAAGACAGGCGACAGAGACAAAGCACAGGAGACCGCTCTCGGACCAGTAGTGTCTCGCGACGGGCTCAGGCAGCACGTGTGTTGTTGAGTAAAATAATGGCAGAAATTAAATTTACTGGTGACCAAGATGAGCAATTGGTAGAATTAGTAGCAGAAAACCGACCACTGACCACCGACAGAAAGATCCTTCTTCGCGTCTGGTTTTGAATATTGAACTCATAGGTTTTCTTTGTTTCTTTCGCAACAAATAACACAGCAACACATCATCATCTTCTTCTTATTCTTCAAGTAACCTTTTTAGAAGCATTTGTGTACTCATTTTTCACAGAATATGTGCACGTATGTCTCAACAAAACAAAGAAAACAAACACTTTGCCACATGTCTCGGTCGCCACCTCAGTAGTGTGTGGGGACAAGCTGCGATGTGTCCGTCCCCCGCCTCAGTCGCTTGTCTCTGTCGCGTGCAGCCAAATTGTACCTTTATACTTAACAATACTTAATGTTTTTGAGTTATAAACAATGTCCAGGCACCTACTCATATTAATTCCAATAAAATTTAACCGAAGTTCATGAGTATATTAAATTGCAGTAATTTTTCTTAACTTTCCATGCTGAAAGAAGCACTACTGGTTTCATGTCAATTTGTATTATCTCAAACAGCACACTGTTCAATACATACAAAATATAACATTTTGGTGCAGATACAAGATTCTGATCATTAAAGAACTTGTCTCTTCTGAAACACCTTCAAGAGAAAGTTTCTGTCCAATGCATCATTCTCAAAGCATGGAATATGATGGCTCTTACAAAGAGATGAATAAGTGTAAATTACAGTGCAACCTCCATATAATAAGAACTTATTTGGGGAAAAAAGTTAATTCTAATGGGTATTCATAATGTCTGAAAACAGCTGAAATGCATAATCTTCCAATCTCCTAACTTCTAACTACATATGACACAATACTAATATCACAGAGATATGAAAACAACAAACAATAATTAGCATCCTCAATGTTTTGAACAATATCTCAATCTCAAACAAAATGTTAAGGCTTGCTTTATGCAAGCAGGCAGTCACTGACAAAGGAAAAGAGTACATTCTACAATGCGGACTTTCTTCTCCTAGACTACAGGTTCACAAACTGTAGATCAAAAGCACATTTTTGGGCCACGACCATAAACAGCATTGGAAGCAAAACCGCAAGTACAGCTGATGAAAATGTTATGAACCAAATATGCATATAATTTTGTACAATAATTTTATATGATGAGTTGCAAACTCTGTTTCCCGATCAACAATAACTCACATTTATTCCACTGTTAAAATTTCTGAGATCAAAAACTTAAAAGGTATGAAGGGCTAAAAATGTTAATGAATTCTTGTGTAACTGATTAAATTATAGTATTTGTAGTCAATTCCCCGCACACTACACTGCTTTACTACTTTTCTTTCTTGTCCATCAGCTTACATGGTGCTTAATGTGCCCTGGAGGAGTGAGAAAGATAAGACTAAATATATAATATAAAGATATAAATAACGATAAAAACCTGAAGATGATGCAATAATAGCATCGAAACATGTCGTTAATAATAAGTGCCGAATAAATGTAACATCGTAATACGATGAAAAGCGCTATAATTTTAACAACAACATTTTTAAATTAAGTTTGTGTATAGACTGGAATAATAAATACTTACTTAGTTCAACACAAACATGACGCATCTAAGCTACAAATTAAATATTCAGAGTTATTAATGCTTCATGTTTCAAATCCCAATGTCACTTACCACGGTTCATCTGTTGGCTCCCAGCAAACAAGGCAAACATTGCATGTGAAACACATAGCACGGTCATCCCCTGTAGAATTGGGCTGGTGGTAAAACCCTGCTTGTGCCATTTGGTCTGGTAAAGCCCACCTAAAACAAAATAAATTCTTGCCTTATAAAATTTTATCTGCTTCATAAAAATATAGCAACACACACGACTTTCCTTTTAAATGTAGGCTGCTTAAAGTTATACAGAATAACAATTCACCTTCTGAAGCAGCAGTAGGAAAAACTATTTAAAAAAATGTGTTTAATGTATTTTTGCACAAACACATAAGCAAACCTTCCTGATTATTTCAACACTGCTCATATACCATAATTATTTTAGACGGCTTATATAATAACGAAAGTTGCAAAGTTATTATTCTTTGTTCTGTAATGACAGTCAAAAACAGAATGTACGATCTGGAGTTTCTGCTGCGACTAAACATGACAAATTCTTCTCTGGCTACCAGCCACGTCAGGTGGCCAAAAGGTGTAAAAACAAACATTTCGAGAAATATCTTCGTCATCAATAGGACACTCGGTATACAGAGAAGCCACACACACGGATCTATACCTCCACACAAGGTCTGAACGCCATCAGGCACAGAAATGGACTGTACTAACTACTCTAGTACAATGTGCCAGAACACTTTGTGAAACTGAAAGTCTCGAGCAAGAAATTCAACATCTGAAGAATGTAATTCAGCAAAAACGTGTACAACTACAAGGATATCAGGCGAGGTCTACGACCAAAACAGAAGCCAAGATTAAAAGAGGAAAAGCCTACTGGTATAGCTGTACTATTATTATTATTATTATTTAGTGTTCTGTGTGACGACAGGTCCATATGAACAGGATCCTTCCATCGGACTGGGACCTGTTCATATACGTTCTTGGCAGATGATCCAGAAGTGGTTTGCCATTGCCTTCTTCTGTGTGTGAATGGAGTAATTGTTGGGATGCCACGGAGAAAAACTCCGTGTTGCCTAGACCACGGCCTTGCCCAACACAAGTTATAAATTCGGGCTCCGCCAGGAATCGAACCCGAGACCCCAAGATTAAGAGGCCAGCGTTCTAACCGCTAGACCATTCTAGCAAAATATAACATCAAAACTGCCCACATTATATGAAAGAAAAATACACGCATGCTCAGGGCCGGTCAAGGATGATTTGGGTCTGAACGTCCCTGGCATGTACCAAATCCTATATCAATGCACTAAAGTAGGCCAGACTGGGAGATCCATCAAGGTTTGATGTAAAGAGCATATAAAACATATATTATTACAAAAATGGAATGTTACATACTAACCAAATGTTAGATGCAGTATGTTAGAAAGACAATACCAACATTCATATACACAGTCATGAAAGGTAGGTTAATTCTGGTATCTCAGAAACAAATGTTCTCAACAAATCTGGTCTAGAGCTCATAGTCATCTATATTTCTGACAACAGACTGGAAAATAAGATTTAGAATTAAAGATTTTAAACCAATCAGGGCTACAACATCCCTACCACCCACAAAAAAAAAATCTATGTGCTATAATAATTTCTACAAGCCAAAATGATCTGGATCTCAGAATTTACCAATTCCTGATCATGCACATAACATTAACCCGTTGCCGCGGAATTTTTAAATACCCCGCATTTACCGCTGTTTTGCTATGATGGCGGTGGTTTCTTTTAAATGTCCATTTAAATTTTGCTGTAAAATACTTTTTTTCCATAACTTTTGAACTATATGAGATATGAAGATTTCTGTCTTCTGGGTTATTGCGCTGTGTAGTCTGGTCGATGTTAACCAACCAAGTTAGTGGTCTGGTTGGTTCTGGCCGCCAGAACCAACCAGACCACTAACTCGGCCCCTTTCAGGGCCTTTATCCATACAACTAAACTCACCTTTCTCTCTCTACTTTCTCTCCCTCTCCCACTCTCGCCCATGTGCTACCATTGGTCCACCCCCATACCTGCTCCCATTGGCTCGGGGCAGGCTACACCTTTCACTTCTCGGCCTATAAACCCAGCTCCTCACACCCTATTGGCATACTCATCGCCCTGATGACGGTTGAAACGTTGGTTAACATCGACCAGACTACACAGCGCAATAACCCAGAAGACGGATATCTTCATACTCACCGCTGTGAGAACCTCAGGTCTTACACATTAATAATATCACAATTATTTTCAAAATATTAATCTAATGATAATGTAAAATATGTGCAATATTCCTTCCAATTATAAATAATCTTGTGGAGGTACTGCTTGAGTAATGGTACCAAATGGTAAAGTAAACTTTTCTGTGTAATGTGTATTTTACTCCATTGCTGAATGTCGTTTTTTAATAAAGATACACCGTTCTATCAAAACACATATGGAACGGCGTAATTGTGGGATTTAAATCAGGCCACCAGGAGATATTAGAATTTAAAAGCCTGGTACTTTAAAGCTGCTTTAATACCTTGGCCTTGTGATTGGTGTCTGCCTGGTGCTCAATTAGTAGAGTAGACATGTCAGTATGGCCTTCCTGAGAACTCAAGTGCAGGGGAGTGAAACTTGCTTTTGATTCTGCATTTGCCTTTGCACCATACTCTAGAAGTGTGGTAGCGATGTCCATCTGTAAGATAAGACAGTGATGCAATTTTAGGTTTATGCTAATCGAAAGCACTGGATTGCACATAACATCAATAAATGTAAAATGTAAGTATCATGCTCTTACATTACAACATATATTATGATTAATTAAATCACAGACTACAAGAAATAAAGGCAACAAACAATGAGCTGATAATCACTGTACTATACAGTACACATATACAATAATTATGAAACCACATTATTTTAAAAGAAGTGCATGTACAATACAATGAAATTCAACAGTTACATACTTGTAGTTCATATGTGGCCACTTGATGAAGGTGTCCCTGCGAGCTGCTTCACTGAACATGAGAGCTCTATCAGCTGGTACTCCCTCGCTGGAAAATGTTGGCAGCAGGCAATTCAGTCGCTCATTTATGGCTGATGCTATTGATAATGCTGGTATATGACGGTTCTGACGCTTCAACTCCTGAACCATCCCAGCACATACAAGTTTCAGAGCACAGTGAGGGAGCTCCAGACATATTGAATTCCACTGCAAGTAAATTCCCAAATAGAACTGAATGAATAATAAATAACTACTCAAATAAAAACAGCCATGCGAAAAAAGCAAACAAAAATTAAATAAAGGTTTTATAAACAATAGCAAACAGCGAGTAAACAAAATAACTTGAAGTCTAAAAATCAAACAAGTTACATGAGTAAAAACAAAATAATTTTAAAACATATTTATTTTTGGTTCTAGGTTATTCAACATCACAGTCACAACCTCATAGGTTATTCATAATCAATATTTTTTGTAGGTTAAACTGGAACCAATCGAGCAAAGTCAGTCAGCCAGCCAGCCTACTTTCATGGTATTATCCTATGTTTGCCTGGAGAATCTGAGTAAAACAACAAAATGCCATAAGTCAGAATAGCTAGTCACCAGCCAGAATATTAAATCTTACACCTCTGAATTACAATCAGATGTTGTCTAAAGGTTTTTGACGAAGGTGTGTGATTAAAATGATGAATATTCTTTGACATTTTCCTTCAATAAAAAAAAACACAATTTCAGAAGCTGGCTCTACTTTTGTGATTAGATGAAGTCGCACAACCTAAAGGTGGCGACTGACTTGTAACATTTGCCTGTAATGTAACGTGTTACAAATCGAGCATTACACAAGTGAAGACAGCGAACGGAGCCGCTCGATGCGAGAATGAAATGAATGGAGCACACATGAGCACGGTCGAGCCGAGCGTTCAAAACGAGCATTCGATACGCCACACCAGTTGTGGTGTAATGTAACATGCTCACCGCGAATGTTACATTACAGGCAAATGTTACAAGTCAGTCGCCACCTTAATAAGCTGGGGTCCATTAAAAAAAAATAATCACAATGTGAATATAGACTTGTATTTGGTTACAGCACCACGTCTAGGGATTGAGATTAGCGTTTAACAGTGGAACCAATTGAATAGATTGTATGGTTTAACAAGATGGTGGAAGCACAGCCAGCTTATAAAATATGTTTTATATTAATAGACAAAACAACATGTCCAAGAAAATACAATAGTCAGATATGTTACTGCCCCACTTCCTCCTTTGGCAACAGGTTTTTGGATTGAACTGTATGTTAATCTGCAAATATTATTAATCATAATTTATTCCACAGGTCAACAAAATTTTATAATTGTCTTTCCTGTGCATATGTTCCTTTTCTTTACCCAGAGAGATTATTGAGAAATATCTAGTTCTCTGTTCTCTAATCTTTAAACACTATTCCAGAAAAATTAAGATGTTCTGGGGGGAAAATGATGACTTATATTTTCCTGTAAATTCTTTAATCCACAGGTTCTCAATCAATGACAATGCATCCTGTACAGAAACAAGTCTTGCTAATGTTATCAGTATATGGCCGTGAGCTACTCTGATGGACATTTAAAGGGATGCATATGAATTACAAAACAAACAAAACCTGATAATCTGATTACTCAACTAAGTCAGTGTCAAATAACCCGCATTTCAATAAAATGCCCTAATGTATGACTTCGCAACCCACGTCAATTAGAAAGGGTGAATGTGACCCAAGGTCTGGCCAAGAATGAGAATCCCTGGATTGAAAGACAAGAAATTATTATAAATTGTTATACAATTTATTTTCATCTTTCTAAGTGTAATTTCCACTAGTAAAAAGCTATCCCATTATGCACCACGCAGGCACTTAGGGGGAAAGGTGGTATAGCTCCTACTCAATCTCAAGCTCAGTACAAGATGGGAATTTCCACTCATACAGCGCCATATTGTCGGTGTCATAGAATAAGTCATTAACTGGTATTTTTATCAAAATCAATTCAAAACTCCAACTTTTGGACAGCTGCCAAGTTCTTTTACATTTTGTCAAACACAAAAGAGTGGATGAACAGGTCCTTCTCAAAGCCAAATTCTGGTTACTCTTGATGGCAGGATGTTAAAGGTGCAAAACTGCGGTTGACTCTGTGCCAGCATGATGTGTCTACAATGTAAACTATCAGGAGCAATTAAAAAGTTGATAAATGGTGTGGAATGAGGACACGGTGGTACTAGTGATATTATAAACATTTTTTATACTAAATAAGTACGAAAGGCTACAAAAAGGTCAACCACTGGAGAACAAGTTGTGAACTCTTCCCAGAAGTAACAAACAACGTGGTGTTAAAATAAATTATTCCACTACGTCAAATTTTGTATGACTTCTATATAGGATTTCTATATAACAAAGACAGCCACAAATCTGACACTTTGAATTCTATTACAGGGATGTTATACTGTAAAAAACCAATGTTATAAAATTAATGTTTACGGTAAACGATTAGAATTAAAACCTGTGATGGAAAAAACTGCATCCAATGTCAGAAGAAACAAATACTAAGATCACAATAACATATCAGTATTATTAGTGCACATAATTAAATATTTAATATGGAAGAATTGCTAGTCTTCCAAACAAAATACAAATGCAATCTAACAAATCTGTATTTAAATGGACTACAATTATTATTAAAAAAACAAATTGGTTTGTGGCTGAGAAACTGTTTTCCCTATTTGAATGTGACATGAGCAATTTTATATTAACAAAAAGCCGACAATTTTAAGGCATGATACTTATGGGATACACATCTGTTGCATTAAGAAAAAAAAAATAACACTATGCATTATATGCACTTTTATAAGGCACACTATAGTAATAGTTAATTTAACCTTCTGGGCTTTGGTCCCTTTCTTTGGCTTTCCCTGTCCTTCCTTGATTTTGTTCCCAAGCTCCTGCAGAACTTCTGCTGTATGATCAACCCCTGGTAGTTCAACACACCTCAGACTGTGTTGCAGTAAGATTGCCTGTTGAAAGGAAGAAATTCTTACTATTATATCACATCACTCAAAACATGTAGTAGACAGGTGGGGCTAGAAGTAAATTCAGAAAAAACTAAGTAGATGTTAGTATCTCGTCGTCAGCAGACAAGCGGGCAAAATTATCTTAGGGTGGCTAATAAATCCTTTGAAAGGGTTACAAAGTTCAAATATCTGGGAATAACAATAACAAATCAAAATGACACTCATGAGGAAGTTAGGAGGAGATTAAATTCTGGAAATGCTTGCTACTTCTCAGTTCAAAATATTTTGTCTTCCTGGGACATGGAGAAAACTGCATAATGACAAACTTAAAAATCTGTACTCCTCTCCCAGTATTGTCAGGGTGATTAAGTCGAGAAGAATGAGATGGGCGGGGCATGTAGCGCGCATGGATGGGACAAGGTGTGCACCGGGTACTGGTTGGGAAACCTGAGGGGAAGAGACCTCTGGGGAGACCTAGACGTAGATGGGAGGATAATGTCAGGCGGATGTATGGGAGATAGGAGTTGAAGGAGACTGGATTTTGTTGGCCCAGGACAGGGTCTGGAGGAGGGCTTTGGTTAATTCGGTGATGAACCTTCGGGTTCAGTAAGCCATCTAGTTAGTTAGTTAGATCACTCAAAAGATGACCCCAACCAGGATTCTTCTTGAGATGCTGAAGCTGACATCCTAGATAGTCATGAAATTCCCCACCTTTCATGAAATGCAAAGGTTTATTATTCTAATCATAACAGGTGCAGGTTCCTTATCGAGAAGCCAACAGTCACTCAGCTAGTAAAGAAATTCCCTCACCCTTTAATAAACCCAAAGGTTCATTCTTACATTCAATGAGCTAACCACTGCAACCTATCCTCAGCTACATGAATCCAGTCCACACCCTCAAACACTATTTCTTAAAGATTTCTGTCTTCAGGGCCCTGATGACGGAGGCAGTATGACCTCTGAATCGTTGGTTAACATCGACCAGACTACACAGCGCAACAACCCAGAAGACAGAAATCTTCATAACTCACCGCTGTGAAAACCTCAAATCTTACTATTTCTTAAAATCCAGTCCAGTGGCGAGCACGCTAATCACTAGTCCACCGAGGATGACGGAAACTGATTATGGTCAATTCAATAATAAAATTGGTTCCAGAGGGAACCAAAGAGATCTAATCACATTCAGTTTCACAAGTAGGAATCATGAGACAAATCAACAAAGTCCTCATAAGCACAACAACGACCATATCCCAACGCAATCTATACTATAGAATATGCTAGTAAAAAAGGTAACGCAATTTCACATGCTGTACATAAGTTATAAACTACCTCTGACAGCAACAACTCCAACTTCACAACATCATCTGGCTTGGTGACAGGTGTCTGCAGGATGGTATCCAACAATAGAACACCATTATAATCTCTTCGGACACCAATTCCTTTCCCATCGGTGAAAAGTATCTTATCATGACAAGGTAGGTACAGGCCATGGAGAATACCTTCTCCTTTTCCTGAAACATAAATATCTACTGTAACATATGAGCTACTTAAATGTGAATTGATGAATAAGATAATCAACATCTACAACTAAAGATTGTTCCCTACATTATTTAAAGATGCTGTATTAACTGACAAGGTTATATAGTGCAAAATGAGGTGGAGAAATAATTATGGTTTGTGAAGAGATAAAGGATGCTGGTGGACACACCTATTTGAAAGTACTGTTCTGGAATATGCCTTAAAATTGACAACTATTATTCATATTCAGAAGAGATCAGGCTAAAAAACAGGTAGGTATCCTGTTCAACCAACTGCCTTATCATAGCTATAACCTCAGTATTATACTTAGTCCATTACATTAACAAATTACTTTTTAAACATACCATGAATGTCTTCACAAACTTTCTTAAACCTAATGATACACCTACTGTTTGCAACTGTAATCTTGAGACTTGCACAGTGAGGAAGTGGGGTGAAGGAGGGGGGGAGGAAAGATAGTGTCTGCTATGCTTTAATGCTTCAGACTTCCTGCATTCCTTGCAAGTCTCAAGATTATAGTAGCGAACAGTATAGCTGAAAGGCTCTGTAATTGTGTCGTAGTAGTACTAAGAACGAGGAGGCTAGGGCTCGATTTTGGGCTGTTACGCCATAGTAGTAGTAGTAGTAGTACTAAGAACATGACTACTGCTTCAAAAACGAAGACAATAACCTGAAAAAATGTACATGATTATTGCAAGTTGATAACTATAAACTATAAACTATAAACAAGAAGATGAACTGGTATAGATAACATTTAAAGGTATCTTGTGCTTATGTATGACACTTGTCTGCGATCTATGCACAAGAAGGAATGTGAGGCCAAGGAACTGTAAATCAAACTTAGATCTGCTACATGAAAATATAATAATCAAAGTAGCTTAAACAACACTTCTGATAATATGTATTGGTATTATACTAGTGCTACTCTGGAAATCTGTGTTTTATGCACAAATTATAAAAGATGTGTATTTTACAGAAACTCCTTAACATTATGTACTTAGTGGGATACACATGATGACCAAATTACAGAAGTATAATATATTAAGATTATATAACCAAAATCTTTTAAAGAATTAAGTTATACAAAGTAACAGTGACATTCCACAACAAATCAACAAAGAAAAGAGATATTTTCAGCTTGACACTTCCACAATTGTTGTTGTTGTTGTTTTTAATGAAGTCCCAATAAAGATAACTTATTCCTGCTAACTTTTCTGCTTCGTGGCCACTACATTTTTGAGAGAAGATATCCAAAACTGTAAAACAACTCAATTTCTTGGCACAAGTTGTCAAAAAATAAGTATCACAACTTCTGCCCGATATGAAATAGAGCTAATTTCATACTTATTTCAAGCTAATAAAATGCCCTTTTAAATGACCTATTACACCAATACATTCAGCACAATTATGTTTTCAAAGTGTTCAAATCTGACCATGTAATTCATAAAATGCAGTATTTTCATGCTTTTGAAAAAAAAATACAATGTATGCAAGTATTATATAAAGCATATGCAAATATCAAGTCAGGCCTGCAATGAGATTGGGTTTTGTGATGCAATTTACTCTGAAGAGCCACTTCACTTGTATTGATGAGGCAACTTCAAGCAACATTTTTTTAAAGACTACTAGTTTCAGCAAGATGGGGTAACAGTGCATACAGCAAATTCAACAATGTAAATGTTGAGTAAGTTCTTTGGAGGTTCAATTATTTCTCAAAACTTCTGACCCCCTTGATCACCAGACCAATCACCACCAGATTTCTAAATCTGGGGGCATTTTGAGGGAGAATGTATAAAAACACAGCCCAAACACACACCAAAAGAACAAACAAACTACTGAGCTGTGCATTTCATGTGTAAGGAATGGGCTGCATGACTTTTCAGTCATCCTGTGCTTATCAGACTTTGACTATACATTCATCTTTGCATTGCAGAATTACTTTGGCACAAGGTGTTCATCCTCATTGTACCGCAGAAATGTTATTTACTCAAAATTGTACATTTTAATATATGTTGTTTATATAACAGTTATGTGACTAGAGAGGAGTAATTATTTGAAGCGCATGTGGTCATTCACTGTAAGCTAGCATGTGCATCTAGCTGCTTAAGTGTTCCAGCTACACATAGACATTTTCCATGGAAGTTTCATAAAAATGACATTCAACAGTAATACCAAATTCTTCTCATGAAAATACTGACAGATAAAACTCCTATTTTTGTTCTAAACATCAGATTAATCAGAGAAGAAACCTTCTCATCATGATATAGTCTGAAATTAGCACACAGTTAGTGTTGTTCAAACTGCAGTCTCCATTCTTGAAATAAATCACAAAAGGGTGAATTGCAGCTTGGGCATAATTCCAGTTAAATGAGTTAACTTCATACTGCAGAATAAAAGAATAAATGTCAGTAAAGTCACACAGAACAATATACTCAATTAAGTTGAGGACTAACTTGAGTTAATTTTGGAAAGTTGTCATGTGTGTTGCTATATATAAATATGCAGCAGAATGCACTATTCTTCAAAGAAATTGTCAAAAAAGTCTTCCACTGAATGAGTAATAGTTTCTGATGTTGATCTGTCTGTTGTTAACCACTGCCTGTACATCACTTCATCTACTGTATTTAATTCAATGGGATATGTAAGCATCTATTTATAATGAAGGATATATGACAGTCTTTGTAGGAAATTTTCATAGTAGTTGACCCAGCTGTAAATTCTGTCAGTTCACTTCCCACCAACATAAATTTTGAGATGCCTGTCTTCGAAGTTGTAGTGCCATGTAGTCAGGTAGTTTACCAATGTTTCAACAGTCCTTGCTGCCTCCATCATTAGGGTGACAAGTTACTCATCACCCTGATGATGGAATGTTGATACACTTCTACCAGAATACATGGCAATACAACCCAGAAGACAGCCATATCAACATGGACCCAGAAAATCCTCCTTTCCAAATCAGGGCAACTCACTGTCAAAGAGTTGCTATGTCATTTACTGGAGATGCATAAATCAGAGCTTTTCAGTGTGCCCAGAGATAAAAATTGACTTTGTTTAAAGCAGGGGCCATTCAGTATGCCCTCATCAACCAATCATCAGGCAGAATACATGTGGTCCAAGAATTCTGAAAATGTAATGCTGAAATATCATTTTCTAATACGCATTAACTGTTACTCTTTGTGACTAAACATTGGGACCTACCTAAACAATGTCAACAGTGTCTGCCTACATATTAAAGACTAAGTATTGTTTTTGTCTACATTGAACAAAAGCATGAGGATTTTCCTCTGCCCACAAGTAATTATGCAAATTCATTATACCATTCCTGATGAAGACTGTTTCATCTGTAAATAGCACTGAAGGAACACAGAATGAGAAAATGTTGACAGAAGATGTCTTGCTGGCAGGGCTGTGGAGTCAGAGTCATGGAGTCGGAAGCAATTTTAGGTGGAGTCGGAGTTGGTAAAAATGTACGGACTCCAACCTCGATATAAAATCTTAAGAACAATTTCTATACCGTGTGAGCCGTCGACAGTCTCACGCGAGATTCAATGACTCGTTGAGCCACATGGTGTGAGAATTATACTTTGTAACTTTGGCTCCGGTACCTTAGGAATACAAACTGTCTACAAATCAACCAATTTCTGCAATAACCTTTAGACGTATATTTAAACATAGGTTATAAGTCTAAAAAGTAGGCTGATGATTCATGTGGTGGTGATGAACTCTCTTATGGTGCCATTTACTATTTTAGTAGGTTTACCCTTATTAATAATACATATTGGCTTTCATGAAGGAGTCGGAGTCAGAGATTTTAGCACCAACTCCACAGCCCTGCTTGCTGGAAAGTCAGCTGGACTGACCCTGAACTCTCTGCAAATGGCAGAAATAGATGCAAAACAACATTTGCAGTAGATAATACCACCATGTCTTAAAGAAAAAGTATGTCATCACTTAGAAAGGAGGCTTTTCTGGACTCAAGCTGATATCAACATTTTTCATAGTTGTGTGCAGAACTCACTCATACATTCTAGCCACACCCTCAAATTAATATGCGCAGTATTTCTAGAATCATTACTCCCAGCTACAGGCAAGAGATTATTGATACACAGCAAGAAATTCTTAAGTGGTCTTAGTTTTGAGTTACACCACAGCACCTCAGTCACTTAATAGTTAACATGCAAGTACAGCAATTCTGATAACTGTCACTAATTTCAAAGTAAAAAAAATACTACAATTACCAGTCACTTGACTGGCAAACCAATCTCCTGAAGATAGGAGAAAAACACTACACATATCAAATATACTTCAGACAATAGTTTCCAACAAACAGAACTGTGGTGTACTGAACCAAACACTGTCACAACCCCTGGAAAATCTAGATTAATTTCATATCAAGTTACTGCTCTCAGATGTTCAGAAAGCATTCTTTCATTCTATAAAGTGTAAAATAAAAAACAATACTGAAAACCAGTCACAGTATGAGGCTGAATTTTGTAGCGATGCAGATGCACTGAATACTTCAATTCACAATATGTTATCAGAGTGTATAATTCTGTATTACAGAAACACTCAAAATTTTCCAAACCATTTCACAGCACAAAATTACATCTACATATAACAGATCCTGGTACAAAATATAGTAAAAATATTCACAACAAGAAGTATAAAATATCTTCAATGTCATTGACATAATAAATGTTACAGATTATATAAATGTTAAGTAACACCATGTCTTACACACTAAAATCCTCTGACTTGTTCAGCAAAAAGACAAAACTGAAAATGTGCAAAATATTTATGAAAGCTATTTCATCTAAACCCCTTGCGAGTAATGACACAGACAAGTGGTACATATTTCTGGTGACAATATGAAATCATGCAGTTTAATGTAAGCGAATCATTACAAATAATACCCTTTTTTTAAATGAGTCACAGAGAGAATATTTACAAATGGAATGACTGAACATGCTTACGTCTACAAACTATGCAGGAAATAAATTACTTCTGTACTTCCGCTAAACCTATATAATCCTGTTACGCAACATCAGAATTACCACTTTACACATAGTTACTGAATAAGATATTGCCTTCGACTGCTTTCACAGTCAACGTGTGACATACCTGATAAAGAACTCTTCTGTAAAATCACGCCTGAATTCACGTCGACTACATGAACTTCTGACGTTTTTGTTGAAACCAGTATAATATTTAAATTAGGGTGATAAATAATACTCTTCGAATCAGTATCTACATTTAAACAACCGTCTTCACACAATTTCCACGGATCGTCATCAGCCATTTTGCTTCTTCGGTTCTCGCCCCCCATACTTATGTAGTCATGTGATCATAACGTCAATATGTTCTTCTTCTACCTCCTTCGTTCGGTTCCACCCGACTGTACTACCCAAAGACACCTGCGTAGATTCACTGGTTGACCACTGGTAGACCAGAAAGTAACATTCCAACAAATTCCTTTATTTCTACGTTAAAACAACAGTGTTCATGAATGCATTGAAACAATTAAAACGTTCCTTCCACAATTATTCAGAGTTCAATGAATGTGTTTTATTTCACATTTCTTTACCATTATTCGCTCCATATTGTAGAACACAATGCAAGGCAAAAATAACCCTACAATTCCTGGCGTTTGTCGAGGGGTGACACTGGAAAGTGGTATGTTGAAATGCTTACTAAACTCCTGAATAAGAAACTGACGACCCTAACCGACAATGATACCAGAATCTCTGATCGGAATTTGGAGAAATCAACGCTTTATGCTATGGCCAACCTACTAAACGGGAAAGAAAAGTCCGGAGTAGATCAAAGAAGCAAATGTACCTTTGTCCAGCAGCAGACAATAACCGTTGGCCACACACAGGCTTTTACCGTCCTAAACTAACCAGTAAATAAATAGTTATGATTGAAGGAGAATATCACGTGTGAAGTATAATACGATATATGCTAGCCTATAACTATATTTTAATAAACTATATTACAATAGATTATACGGTTAACAAATCAAAGGAACTGATGCAAACAAATGTAGTTCTACAAAACGACCCTCTCTGCTAAATACAGCAAATACCGATGTCTTAACACTTGCTCATTCTGTAGGCATCAAAGAACATTTAAGGAGATATACAAAGATAATAAGCAGGGGGAACAGGAGTAAACATATCATACAAACGACCTGTAAAAGGGCTTCCAATTTTACTTTTTATTGGTTATTAGTCTAATAATTGGCATTAGGTATTTTCCCCCTAGAATTCTTGTTTATATGTTGTCATGTTTACTATACTGGAATTAAACTATTCAACAAAATTTCCCAAAAATTAAAGTCTGAATCACAACATAAAGAAATTAAGCCAGCACTAAAACAGTATCTATCTCACTTCTATTCCAAAGAATTTACCTCAACCAGAAATTCTCATCTAATATAAAATACATCTGAACAATAGTGGGTATGCTTTCTCGTGTATTTATTTGTGTGGTAATATGTGGTGACTATATATTATTGTCAATCCATGTATTTTATGTTTGTATTAGAAACAAGTGTTGTATTTGTGCATTGATACATTTCTACATCCTTGGATTGGGCCTATGAAATGTAAATAAATTCTGTTCTATAACTTTACCATTTTGTGTTACATCTATATACATATTCTTTCTCAACTATACGCATAATTTGTTGGAAAAAACCCGTGTTCAAGAAACTGTAAACTGGCAACCTTATTTTGGATTCGTAATATCTGATCGTCTATAATTTACTGTATCCTTGTCTTCTGTGCTAGGGTTTACGACAACTGCTGCAACCGTATTGGTAGGCTGGAGTTGATTTTGTTATAATGATTGCGGATTAATATTTGTGTTTAGTTTATATCGGTCTTGTGGGTAATTGGTAATAATATAACGTTTGCGAATTACATAGCTGTTGCTTGTACATTTCCGAAGAACTCGTAGTATGCTCTTCCCATTAAAAATTGTAGAACTATATTTTAAAGCGAATATATGAGCAGTGTAAATAGTCGAAGTGCGTTCAATATCAACGTTTTGAAAGCTTTATAGTTTGGACTGCGAATAGAAAAACGGTGTCGAAGAAAATATTTTGAGTTAATAGTCAGATTATGAGTTCAATTTTCACACGTATGTTGGTCTCGCGAAGGAGAGAAGCATATGTTTAACATGTACTGAATAATGTGGATTCTTGCGACCGCCCATATCAGTTCGAAGGTCATGGGTAGTCACAAACTATTTTTTTAGCTTGTAAGCAACGCTTCCGCCATTTTGTCTTTGTTGGAAGTACCGCTTAATGGATTAGCGATTATATGAGGCCTTAGCAGTATTTATATCATTGCAATAGAGGTATTGTGCAGTGAAAAAATAACACCTACATACAAGGAAGAGTTTTGTTGTGTGTGCAGTAATCATGGTCTACTTCACGAAACATGTTTGAATATTCTGCAACCGGTCATAAATGAGCGGAGCATCAGAAAATTGTAAGTTGCTTTCATAGTTATAATAATTACGTTAAGAAATATAATGGCAAATATCATGTTATGTATTTCCTTATAGATGCATATTTTTTCTACTTTGTGCACAAACACTGTATTAGCCATTGAGTTTATATACGATTATTACTTAGGGAATTTATCATATTTTCATCGTTTCCTGTGTTTGAATAGTTCTTAAGTGGTTAACTGTGTGAATGTGGTATGCATCATGGGCCAAGAGAGACATTTGCGGCCTTTTTTATCTCAGTGAACTGAGGACAGTTGGACACTCAACATAGCAAGTAATATCTGACTTGATAAACTTTTTGAAGATAGTGTAATTGCGTCATATTGTGAATATTCTAACAATTATTTATTTTAATCCGTCTTATCACAATATTTAAAATTTCTTATAATTAAGATAATAAAATATCATTGATGTTCCAAAATGTAAATCGATCAATCGATATGGAACATCAATGATATTTTATTATCTTAATTATAAGAAATTTTAAATATTGTGATAAGACGGATTAAAATAAATAATTGTTAAACTTTTTGAATTTAATTTTATGTAAAGTTTGTACAGGTGTTAAGATGTTTGTACAAGAGTCTGTGTTCTGTAAACAGAGGTTTACCAGGATGTAAATCATAAAACACCTGTTTGCAGTCTCCAATTTGACCTTAAAATACAGTCTAAATGAATTGGAAAATACTTCATTTTAGCTTCTTTCACAAGCAACAACAGCAACTTCAGAAAAATGCATGTTTAGGTAATCAGTTACTGCAGAATCCTGAAGCATGCTGTATGTATGCTACATTGGTAGTGTATGCAGAGGACTCGGAAAATGAAATGCATAATGACTATGAAGTGTTCAGATGTTGGAGATGAATTCCTATCAACAGCTGCCCTAAATGAGAACAGTTTATTGACAAATTATAGATTAATGAATTAATCATCCAAGTGTCTGCAGCACTGCAGTAGTATTTTTTGAGCATGCCTGTGTTTAATAGCTAGACCATATACTTTAATTTAATGTGTGCTGTATCTCACCCAGCCTCGTGTATAATGGTTACAGGGCTCTTTTCCTGGGAGGAGGGGGGTAAGGCTCACCTGGGGCATGTCACTGATTACTGACATCTATCTAGATCTGAGGTTACATGGCATGTAGCAGGACAGCTTTACTCTTTTATACTTATCATGAAACTTCTGATGTGTGACTTGCCACTGTTATTATTTAATATAACAAAATGGACTCCACAGGATTAAAAATAGTATAATGATCTTTAACCTTTGTAAACATGTCTCCAACTATTAATAAAGTCTTCTCGGGCTATCAGCCATGTTAAGTGGTGATTAATCGCCGACGTTTTGAGGACCATCCTGTCCTCATTCTCAGGGCTGTTTTCTATGTGGCTCATAAACAGCCTTGAGAATGAGGACAGAGAACATTTTTGTTTTATATGTATTCATGGTTTTCATGTTCCTGGTTTTGGTTGGGAAGAGTGATGTGTCCTTTGCCAGTTGTAATTTTTTATCTTAAACGTAAGGGGAAAGTTTGATTTTCATTTACATGTGTTTTCTTGGCTTAAGTTAGCAGTATATGTGACTAATTTTGTGATAACTCTTATTATCCTTTGAAAACTATATAGTTGGCATGATGTTCTGTACAGATTTGCTTCAGGGCTTTACTTATTACTGTGTACTATTCTTTATAATTATGTCTGGTCATGTGTGTTGTACAGCCACTATTGATGCTGCTGTTAATAGCCAAAATGGACCAAACACTTCCCCATGGCTCTGGCAGAAAATTGAAGTTTCTTGTTTGGTTTTCTGGCTGTAAAGCAGGGCTGTGGAGTCGATGCTAAAATCTCTGACTCCAACCCTGACCCCTACCCCTACTCCTCTATGAAAGCTCAATATGTATTAATAATGGTAAACCTACTAAAATGGTAAATGGTACCACAAGCGACTTCATCACCACCACGTTAATCATCAGGTTACTTTTTTAGACTTATAACCTATATTTAAATATACGGGGTCCGCAGTGGCCACACGGTCTGAGGCGAGGGCCTTCTGCTGCTTGGTCGCTGGGACCATGGATTTGAATCCCACTCAATGTTTGTCCGCATTTTTCTGTGTTGCGCTGTCCTGTGTACAGGTAGAGGCCTTGCGAAGGGCCGATCCCTCGTCCAAGGAGTCCTACCGAATGTCTATAGATTAAGCCAACGAAAAGTTGGGACCCGCAGTGCTCAGGCACTTGAAGAACAGGTCATTCCGAGTATCCCAGTATTTAAATATTTATCTAATGGTTATTGCAGAAGTCTGTTGATTTGTTGACAGTTTGTATTCTTAAGGTACTGGAGCCAAAGTTACAAGGTATTCCACACCATGTGGCTCAATGCGTCATTGAATCTCCCTAAGCATGAGGCCACCGGCATCCCACACGGTAGCGAAAGTGTTCTTAAGATTTTATGTCGAGGTCGGAGTCGGTCCATTTTTACTGACTCCGACTCCACCTAAAATTGCTTCCGACTATGACTCCACAGCCCTGCTTTAAAGTATTGTAATGAAAGTATTTGTAGGTGTTCTTAAGAACAAATATGATATGTCACGTAATCAATAATATTTTTATTGAAAGCTTGTGAAGGCCATTGTTGAGTTTGACAGACTTCCTTGGTTGAAATTTGTAAATGTAAACTTTAAATCACAACCTGAAATTTGAGATATGAACAGAAAGATGTATACACACATTTAATGAATTAAATTAAGACAGTTGAATAAACTAAACCACTACATACATCAACATTTGTACTTAGTGAATTAGCAAATGTAATGTAGGTGTTCAAAATTATCACTTTTAACTTCATGGCTGTGATGGCCTTGAGCAACTGATTGACAAATGACCATTGAAGTTGCTGCTGGAATGGCTGTGCACGACTGTTCAGTTTCTTGCCAGAGCTCTTGCAGTGTTGCTGGCTTTGTGCTGTGCAAGACATTCTTAATGTAACCCCACAAGGAAAGTCAGATTGGTGATTGCGGCAGGGTAATCAATTGATCCTCTGCATCCTCTCTGTCAGTTGGGAAAAGTGTCGTCATGATAGGCCTGGACAACGCAGTAGTAATGTGGTGCTCGCTCATATTATTGATATCACATGTCCTCTTCCATACAGCTGATGAACAGCGGGAACATTTCCGTATTATTTATATAAACTTTTGGGACACACAGTGTCTACATTTAGGAAACAAAAATTATTAATTCCATTCAGCTTGAGGTTGTTGGGACTATTATTTTTTCCTTCAAACTCTGTGGAGTTGCTGATGCTTTTGCAAAGTACTTTGAAACAGTTATCACATTTTTCGCATAGGAAAATTCCTCTCTCTGTTATGTACCTCAGAATTTGTATCTTTAGTACCCACTCAGGTGTATGTAAAGTCTTTAAGTGTCTATGGTCCTCTGAGTCTGCTGGACTTGCTGATATTGTTGCTTTTGTAACAAAAGGTGGTTCACAAATTTCAGAACATTCTTAAATGTATTTTTATTCATAGCTTACCTCAGCAACAATTTCATATATGTAGAAACAAGCAGCTACTGTTCTTGTTTTAAATAAGTTTGCAGTGCCTCTGGTAGCATCAATTTATGTTGATTTTTATAATTTTTAGAAGCATTTGCATTTATGTTATTATTATTTTATGTCTTGAGTTGTATATTTTATTTTGTTTATGAAAATTGTGTTATTATAATTTCTGTTTTTGTTGTATTTTCTTTTTTGTTCTTATCCCCTGTATCTGTAATAGGCCATTGGGCTGTTAATGATGCAGCACACAAAAACAAATCATAAAAACATTGCTATTGTTGCTGATATTATTAATATATTATTATTATTATTATTTTAAATGCTGTCCTTCCCTTTTGGAAGCTGTCGGTCTCCGCATCCCTGCTCGGAATCTGAGAGATTTTTCTATGTTCAGTTTTAGCCCCTTGTTCAAAAACAGTCCTTCTGCTAGATGCGCATCAGCTGCTAATGTTGTCTGCAGGGATTTGGACATATTCGAGACGAAAATTGTCACACTTAATCATATTCTATAATAGCATAATTTACTTAATTGATGCATGTTATTTTACAAATATCCTAATGTAGTTAGTAGTAATTTTTTGTGTACTTTCAGTATCAATGTATTTTATATATTGCTTGTTTTACCTTTTATGTTTTACTGTATTTGTGAGTTTATCTCTGTGCTGTATCTGTAATTGGCCACCAGGCTGTTGATACAGCACACAAATAATAAAGAATTGAATTGAAGAATTGAATGAATGAATTATTATTATTATTAAGGAATTGAACTTAATTTGGATTGCCACCTGATCATTACAGTTTAATCATAATTACCTGTAAGTAATATACAGCCAAATTAAGAATTTAATTTAACATAAGTATTTTCATTTTGTTTTAACATTAGTTGAACTAGAAGCTGGTTCATCTGGAATGATGGAATCTTCAGTTATGGAAGGTGAAGAATATTATAATCCAGAAGGCAGTGAATGGAGCCAAAAGGTCGACACTGGCCAGTTGTGTCGTGTGTGTGCCAATGCAAACGATTATCTCATACCCATTTTTGATGGTGAAGGTTTGGAGCATGAACTTGGTATGAAGATCGAGAAACACCTTCCGATCAAGGTAATGTGAATGTATTGTTTTGCTGGTGAGAAACACAAGTATATGTTTTCTTTTTGTATAATGATAGGGAATGGTTATCTACATACAAAAATCTGTGTAGGTGTTTGAGCATGTAAATTTTCTTTAAAACAGCAAATAACAAGTTGGGACTGCAGTGGGATTGGATTTTGTGTTGGAGTTGTGCTGTTGGCAGGAATACTAATCTCCATAGGGTCTACAATTTCACAAAAATTGTTACGTTCTGAGGGGATTGGGTTGTGATCTGTGTTAATTTGACATCTAATGGCCCATTACAGGATTATCTTGTGTTTAGTGTTGATATTAATACTTTTCCATTCACAGCTATGCCATAATGAAAAGACATTAAAAATTGAATCAGTAACGATTTGTTAAAATTATGTAGTCAAAAATGTGCCTCTTAGTGTCATATCTGTTGGTTCATCTGCAGACAGAAACTAGAGAACCGTTAAACAGTTTGTCACCAAGTTACATGTTGGAGAGTTCTGCTGAAATTTGTGTACACATTCCAGTTTTGGTTAAGAATGGACTACAATAATGGTCACTTTACATGAAAACCTACATGCATATCAGCGCTCGGAAGTGACTGGGTGTGGATTCTCTGTGTAAGGCTACTCCGATTGGGGAATCCTGTGTTAATAGTGTGTAAACATTTGGAAGAACTCCAGCACAAATTTCAGATTCTGGCAAGCACTGCAGAGTTGTTACACAGAGCATATATTTTCTAGTTATCCGTCTTCTGGGTTATTGCGCATTTGTTTTACCAACAGGTGACAGAGACTGACAGTTTACCTCAACAGATGTGTTACCAGTGTGCATCAACATTAATAGCATGGCACGATCTTGTCATTAGTTGTGTAGAAGCTGATAAGAAGCTGAGAGAATTACAAGTGGAAGATGATGATGATGATGACGGTGATGACAAGGGTGCTGAGGTAAGTTTGCAAGACCCAAAAAAAGTTAAATTTTACATTACTTTATAATTTGGAAAATGTAACACAAAGAGTACTTTATGTTGAAATACGTTCGGGAACTAGCATATGGTGTCTTTTTGTAGACAGCGAAGGAGTGTTTTGGTGGAGATGCTCACGATGCATTTTTGTTTTCAGATGTTTGAGTCTCCATCATTGGATGCTGAAATGACAGATGATGCTGTTCAGCCAAGTACATCAGAAGTACAAAGCCAAGTTTCAAAGACTCCATCTCCAAAGAAAATACTTCTTGTAAGTACTTATCTGTTTCTCATGTTTTGTGATGTGTTGAGGTTAAAATAGTTTTCAGATGCAGAAAAAATTATGCTTAGAGATCAGATTACAGTATTCAGGATGTGGTATGTGAAGGAATATTTTGTATTTATGACTATGTAAGTTGATTTTGTAATTTCAGAACAAGGAGAAGAAACCGAAGCTGAAAATGGTGTTAGTGAAGGGACATGCAGCTGGCACATCTGGGCAGAAGACCAGTTCAAAGACTCAAGTTGCGAAGGCCCTTGAATTGGCCAAATCCAAGGATGGTTCCAGTCAGGATTCAGCAAGTGAAAGGTAGGTGAATTTCATGTTATGTATTTCACTTTCATACCAATGCTCTTCCCAATATTGCTTTTCATCAAGAGGAACTCCAGGACAGGACATGAGGAACAGAGAGGTCTTCGTTCTTGAGAGAAATATTGGGCGTGTATATATAGCAATCATCTTTGTTGCAGCAAAATGTTTTATGAGTAGGCTGTTTGTTTTTATTTTTATTTTCTGCACCCTTGGGATTGGCAGGCAGGAAATTTGAGTGCTTCCTTTTAGTAGCATCATGGAGCAGAGTCCTGTTTGAGAATTTAATAGTTAGCCAAATAGTCTGGATGTTCTGAGTTTCTTATGGAACCAAAAGGTCATTACAGTGTTCCCAAGTGCCTGTGTTCTTTGCCAGATGAATCAAGTCCATACTGTCCAACCCTAGTTCTCAGATCCATTTAAAAATTCTCTCATCCCCCCCCCCCAAGTTCATGTGAGTAGTGTCTCTCATTACAGACTTTTCAACCAAAATTTTGTTTGTGTTTATTATTTCCCTGTGCATGCTAAGCTCCCTGCCTACCTCATTGAATTGTTCATCCTGACATAATTTGGAGAAAAGTACAAATTATGTAACTCCTCATTGTGCAGTTGTTTCTAGCCACTTCATCCCTCTTGGGTCTGAATATTATTTTAAGTGGTTCACTTAATGTGAGAGGCCAAGCTTTTACACCCATACAAAATACAGGTATTTTTTTCTTCCTGATATGGTTACAAGTATTTTCTGAATTTGTTCTGTTCTTAATTTCCTCCTAAATGCAGTTTTTTGATTTGTTGCCGTCATTCTCAAATATTTGAACTTTTGCCATTCAAAGGATTTATTAGCTACTTTAAGGTAATGATTTGTCCCATAATCTGGTGATGAGACATGAAACCTATGCTGAACATTGCATAGTTTTCTTCGTGTGCCTGGTGATGAGACATGAAACCTACGCTGAACATTGCATAGTTTTCTTCGTGTTCACTTCTAGACCAGCCTGTGTACTAGCGTATTATATACCTGTCTTTTAATTTTTTGATATTTCTGTTTTTGCCCAATAAATTAACATTATCAGCACAAACTAAAAAGTTGTGTATCCCATTCAAATCCAGCCTCGCTTTGTTTTTCTTGTACATTCCTGATGCATGTGTATTCTAATGAAAAATTAATCAAAAGTAATAAATATTATTTAAGCCCATTCTGAATAAGAAGTGTGTAAATGTTACCTTTTGAGACTTCCCTATAAGTCTAATTTAAACACATTTTAATAACATAGCTAGTTTTAATGTTGTACTGAATTAATTGAAGTTGTATAATACTTCTTTTCCTAACTGACTCATATATTTCCTTGAAGTGTGTGAGTAAGGAATGGGTTGGGCTCCTGGTGTTCAAATTGAAGGATAGTGTCTAGTTCCTGTCTTTCCGTCCTTGTTCCTCCTAACTTGGCAGAGC